CAGACTCCTTGCAAACTGTGTAGCAGCTTTTTCTACAGGGTATCTCCAGGATAGCATAATTTCAGAAACATGAGGGGGTTAGGAAACCCTCAACAGTCATTAACTGACAGTTCTGTGTGCTCTGTATTTCCAGTGTGGATCAGCAAAAATTCGCTTACATTTCATCAGATACAGACTGTTAACATTTAAGTCAGTGATAGCTTCCATATGCTTTCCATGGTATTGCATATAATGTGTCTGATTTTGTTTATATGGAAATATTAATGAGACCGAATACAATAATAGAACGTACCACATATTGATTTCTGGTTTGTTGTGGTAAAGCTACCTACAGCAACACCTTGTAGTAATTTATATTCCCAACTAAATTTATTAAATGACCCTTTATATTTTCATCATGGAATGGAGTTAAATGATCCTAAAATCAAATTAAGCTACTTTCCATTTGGGCAAGTTTGAATTGCAGATAGAGGACGCTGAAAAAAAAGTTATTGTGTATTGTGGGGAGTTTTCATTAGGTAAAGGAAGCGCGGAGAAGAAAACCCCTCACTTTACCCAAAAAGTTCCAGTCTTTGACGCCCAAGCAACCAAGCTGCATTGCCAAGATGAGACTTTTTGCATCCTTCTAACATCAAAATGGGTTGAAGTCCAGATGACTGTGGGTGAAATAGGAAAAACAAGCCAAATCTCATGATGGTGCAAATTATGGAGATGTGTCTAATCTTTGACTAGATCTAGGAGCATCATAGTGATGGCTACAAGCATCTAGCACAGCTGCTTTGAAGCCCACCAATACTAAGCTTCTTAAAGGTGCAGCATGAACTCTTGATACAGTCTCTCTTTAAAAGGGGGGGGGGGTTATTGTTAAGTTGTAGAAGGAGGGCCAAAAGTTGTCTGGATCCAACAGCATGCAGCTCTGCAAAAAGGCATTGCAGCACTGTCATGCCTACATCTGGATATGTTGTAAAGAAGAAACATCTACACTTCTCTTCCATGCAGGCATTAGGGTTAGGGTCGGGGGACCACAACTGAGGAGACACAGCAAGATCCAGGTGCCAGACACAAGGTCTGCCAGCTCTGCTGTCTCCAGAGTCATCTGAGCGTGGGTGTTGCAGCAGCAGACAGGACTTGCTCTTGACTCTGTCGTTGCAATCTAAAAGGATTGGACCCCCAAATCCACAGGATCCAGAAGGATCCAGGCAGAGTTCTGCTACTACACAGACTCCAGAGAAGGTCAGGAGGGGAAAAATACAGATAACCTTGCGTTTCCAAGAAGGGGCTGGGAGAGAGACTTTTAATGACTCAGATACCCTCTGCGTAGCCTGTCGGGAATGCTTAGGGGAACCAGTCCCTGCAACTGGAGCTGGGTCATTTGAGCCTAAGGCTTTGCACCGCCTCCACCTCCTGGCTCTTTGCAAGCCAACTATCAAACACATAACTAAATACTCTGTATTGAAGCATCCGCTTCTGTCTCTCACAAGGACCCGCTCGGCCAGAGGAATTAGCAGCTCTGTCTGTGTCCGATGGAGAATGTGAGCTAATCTCCTGCAGCAGAGCAGATAAAATAATTGATGAGTGTGTGTTGAATCCCCAGGAAGGAGGAGGGGGAGGAGAGGGTGCTGATTTCAGCCTTGTAGCGTCAGGATTGCGTCAATTTGGGTTTCAACCACGTCTTCAGTCTCGGTGCCGAGCTACTCAGAAGAGCCAGCACAGGAAGGGGGCTGCAAATCACTGGGCAAAGGGAAGGCTAAAAGCTCCCTCCCCTTTCCCCCACCCCCCGCAACAACCAACCTCCTCCACCTCCTCCTCCTCCTCCTCAGCCTTCCCCATCTTTCATGTTTGTGTTTGCAGCACGCCGGGAAATAAGGAGCCCGCGGATCCGTGCGAGCCGGGAGCCGGGCGAAGCCGGGGAGGCGCCGTGCAGCACCTTGGACAGCGCACGCAGCAAACATGGCTCCGATCACAGCTAGCAGGGAGGAATTTGGTAAGCCAGTCCCGGGCCCGAGTTGTCCCCGGGCAGCCCCTGCCCTTCACCCCCAGGGGCTTTGCTCCCATGCAGGGGGGCTCGGAAGCAACTCACCCCATGCAATGCCACCCTGTCTGCCCTGCTCAGCTGCGTAGTACCCTTGACCCATTTTTGCTCCCTCCCTTTCAGAAGTTTATAAGTGTGTCCTTTTCTTTCCCCTGTGTTTACGTCCATTCCCTCCCCTCTTTTTTTTTTACATCTGGGATGTCTCCATTCTTTTCTTCACCCCCAGTTATGCTCCAGAGTTGCATCATGCACATCTATCCCAATGGCAAGGATTTTTTTTTTTTTTTTTTTGCTTTTGCAATATCTGGCACTTGTGATCCTAGTAAGAGAAGGACTCCTACAACCTTTAAAAAAAAATAGTTCTTACAGTGTGGTCTATATTCTTGTTTTCACTGCTGTTTGATGTGGGGATGACTATATAGTATACCGTATAGTCATACTGCCCGTATAGTGTAAGAGCATTCTGCTCTTTGGGTTAAGCTTAGTGAACCGGTTACTAGTATCGGAGGATGATAATGATAAGGAGAAAAAAAAAAGTTCTTGGTTATGCCATTTTTCTCTGTTGCATGTTTGCTGCTTATTAACTTTTAATGCAGGAGAGGTGTTGCATAACGGGCCCCCAAATGCATTTGTGAAAGCATACATAGGTTTTCTTTAATTGGAGTTGAGAAAAGGCAATGCTTCTGAACTCTGTTTTATGGCTGTTCACTGTAGTCAACGCTGTGATTGCTTTAGCACTAGTGCAGATCTGGAGGCACTCCCTTGATTTAAATGAAGCCATGCCAAATTAACTGGAGATAACAGAGATCAAAATCTGCCCTAGTCTTAATGGGAAGCATTACAGGGCAAGCCACCTTTCTGAATGGTTGGGGAATTGATTTGCCATATGAAAACAGCAACAAAGGCAGGTTGTAATCTAATTGGCAGTAAATGTACAGCAATTTTAATACTATCTCCTCTCCTTTCCCACCCCACCCACTTGAGGGTTTCAAACTACATTTTAGACATCTTACTCATATGATGACTCACTGAATGGAGATAATTGATATCTTAAACAGTAAATAGGTCTTATCAATACTTTCAGGCGATGTAGATATTATGTGTATTAGTGCTTTCAGATGAACCATTAAAAAGTGATCTTTACAAAGTGTATAGCTATGCAAACTGATACCCAGAACCTCCATAAGCCTTGCTATTAATTTGGAGCTCATGTCTTGCTTTATGCAATTCCTATTTCTGCCTCCTGAGGAATTGTTTAAACTCAGTGCCATGTGCTTGACTATATTTGAATTGAAAGAATGATACAGAGTGTGAGGAGAAGGGAAAGTGGCATGGCTATTGTTAGAAGATATGGATCACCAGGCCTAACCCTTCATTTACTGGCAATTTATGTCCTAATTTCTCTTTGTAGTGCTATATTTTATCAGTTCAGTTAAAAAAAAAATCCCAAATAAAGGCATGTCAGTATGTGAAAAATCAGTTCCTTTTGCCTAGTCTGTAATGGGCTCATCCATACCTCCAGAAAGATAGTTCTGTACTTTCTCATCCAGGGGGGTTTGTAAGCATTTGTTAGAGAACCAGAACTCTTAGATAAAGAACATGATTACCTGTATGCATAAGCAATGTCATCACACAAATATTTTACTAGTCTCTTTCTCTTGCAAGGAACCAGGATCTGACTCTGATTGCTCCATGGTGGGAGACTTAAACTCACTTACTAATCTTACTTATGGACAAAATTGGATTTCCAATTAGTGGTGCTCATTTGCCTTTTCATTGCATGCTTATGAAAGGCTAATGATACTCTATATGCAACTATTGTATCTACATGCCAATTGAGGTTGTAACGATTGCACTGCTTCCCCTTTGTAATGCAGTTTTCAGTAGCAGGACTCACATGAATGTGGGAGAAAAGTATTTTTTTTTAAATGTTTTGTTATATACAAAAAACATTTTGCAAAATAAATGCAATCCCTCCTTCAAAAGCATTTAACCTCCCTGCCCCCTCCCCATGGCTTTGTTACATAATCAGGTAGATTCAATACTTAATGGGTACCAGAGATTTGCATTGAATTTTCCTGGGTTTCAGTTTGACTGTGAATGTATAACATACAGCATGAAAAAGGCTTCATCTGTATAGTTTTTCTACATTTGCTCAAAGGACTCACTCCTGCAAAAAGCTGAACATCCCCCTAAGAAACTGTTGAATATTATGCCCTTCCATTTAACCCAACATCTTTAGAAGTACCCGTCAGCCTTTTAAATGAATAAACCATGGATCATTAAATAGAACACAGAGGGGAAATATGAAAAGTAGACAATGTATTTGTAAGTAATGTATATTTAGGTTCTATTTTAACTAAGCAACAAAGCCTTATAGATTCAGTTCTGATCCTTTAGGACTGAGCTGGAAATGTTAAAACAGATGCAGGTTTTCTCCACGAGAACAGCAACTGCACAGGGGGGGATGATCCATTTCAGAGTAATTATTAATTATTTTTATTACTATTATTACTGTCATACTGTTCAACCACCCCTCCCCCTCACTCCCTGTTTATGGAAAAGTACTACCAGGGAGTCCTTGCAATGTGTCTACACATTTATACCTCTAGGTGGCATTCAATTTGTACAGATCCTGTGCAATACCTATAACGAAAAGCATTACAGTCTGCATAACTTGCAGCTATTGACATCTCTTTGGACTTTTTTTTAAAGAAAAAAAAAATAGCATGTTCAGTCTGAAGCACTGCTGTTTACCTGTTTGTTACTATTCGTTTGATTTGCAGATGAAATTCCTACAGTGGTTGGAATCTTTAGTGCATTTGGCCTTGTCTTCACAGTCTCCCTATTTGCTTGGATCTGCTGCCAGCGTAAATCGTCCAAATCTAATAAGACCCCTCCATACAAATTTGTCCATGTGCTGAAGGGGGTTGACATTTATCCAGAGAATCTCAACAGCAAGAAGAAGTTTGGAGCAGATGACAAAAGTGAAGGAAAGAACAAATTGGTGATGCCAAAGAATTCTCTGCATCTTGACCTGGAGAAGAGAGATCTGAATGGCAACTTCCCCAAAACAACGCCCAAAATCCAGAGCTCCTCAGATCTTGAGAACTTGAGTCCAAAGCACTTTACAGAAAGGGAGAAAGATTCAATATCTCCTGATAGCTTGAAGTCCAACATGTCACTGTCTTCTGAAGAGAAACAAGAAAAGCTAGGAACTCTCTTTTTCTCTTTAGAGTACAACTTTGAGAAGAAGTCATTTGTGGTGAATATCAAAGAAGCACGTGGGTTGCCAGCAATGGATGAGCAGTCAATGACTTCTGATCCCTATATCAAAATGACAATCCTACCCGAGAAGAAGCACAAAGTGAAAACCAGAGTGCTGAGAAAAACCTTAGATCCAGCTTTTGATGAGACCTTCACATTTTATGGGATCCCCTATAGCCAAATTCAAGATTTAACCCTTCATTTTATGATCTTGAGCTTTGACAGGTTTTCCAGAGATGACATCATTGGAGAAGTCATCATTCCACTCTCAGGAATTGAGTTGTCTGAGGGAAGGATGCTAATGAACAGGGAGATCATCAAACGCAATGTTAGGGTAATTTCTTTTCAATACTTTTAAAAGAGTTGTACCCCTAGGAATTATGTGTTTATTTATTTATTTTTTTACCAGCATCTTGGGGGAAAGGAGTTCATCATAAAAGTCATTAAGAAGCTTTCTTAAAGGTAGCATGGGGAAAGAGCTGTATAAGGGCAATACATTAACATTGCAATAAATATATTGCAAGGAATTACTAATGGATCAAATCTTGCCTATTTGCACTGGTCTGGTTGACTTCAGTGGAACTACTTAGGTTAGCAGGCCCTCCCTCCCCTGACACATGTATTAGGATCAGGATGCCATCTCACTATGGCAACAAGAACATGGAAAGTCCTGCCCCCCCCCCCCCCCCA